CCACCGCGTCCACTCTTTCCTTCTTGGTTCTCGCGAAGAACGTCTGCGCTGGCGTCCTCGCTCGCTCCAAGTCCGATTGTGTTTGTGTAGCGTTCATTCTCAAGGCCGTTCTCACGATGACGGGCCTAGGCGGCGGCCGACGCTGTGGTCGCGTCGTCGGCGGTGCGAATGGTTACCACAACACGCTCCGCCACCGTGCATCTCCTCTTGACGCGTGGGATATGGCCTCTGCCTCTACGCGTCCCGGCTCGCACGGTGGTTCCTTTGAACCTCGCGGTACGGAACCTGGGGGCCGCTTAAGAAAGGCCGTTTATAGCCGGGACAAGTTGCATCAGTCCCGTTCAGCCCGAGTCGCACTGCTCAAACATCGTACAAAAAGACGGCGGTCGCTGCAGAGATAAGGCCCGTTCACACTGTTGCGACCGAGTAAAGGTCCGTTCACACTCTTGCAACCGAGTACGACCGAGAGAGACCAGACCGGTTTTTAAGCCTCTTGCGATCTCTTAGGACCAGCTCCGCTGTAGCGCATCCGATCCTAAGAAGTCGCAAAAGGCTTAAAAACCGGTCTGGTCTCTCTCGGTCGTACTCGGTTGCAAAAGTGTGAACGGCGGTTAAGACGGAGAGAGACCAGACCGGTTTTTAAGCCTTTTGCGACTTCTTAGGACCGGATTCGACGCAGCAGAGCTGGTCCTAAGAGATCGCAAGAGGCTTAAAAACCGGTCTGGTCTCTCTCGGTCGTACTCGGTTGCAAGAGTGTGAACGTGCCTATAATGCTTCATAAGTATATATTTTTGTATGACCAATGTCGAATACAAGGAAGAGACCTGTCTCGGACACTGCGTACACACCCCTTTTTTTTTTCTTTTTTTTTTTATGTGATGTATTTGTATTGCGGGCGCGTCTTTATAGTCTCCTGTGCATCTCGTGCGCACGAAGGAGCAGATACGGGACCATCTCTATGCGGAGCCCATCGTAAACGTCCCACTTGAAAGACCCGTTTTACATACAACTTTGTCATCTTCAGATCCTACGTGGCTGGCACGTGGCGCCATCGCACCCCGATGGTTGTCACTCCTACTCGATCTTGCCGACGAAAGCAAATTCCATGGTGCAAAATGTACGCTGCGGAAGGTACGCGCGCAGCAGCAGCGAGGCCTCCCTCCACAATGGTCGCTAACGTGGGGTCGTTGCAAACTCATTTCGAGAGAGGGGTCGGATTCTGTTCGAGAGGCTGCCAGCTTGTAACGCGGTGTTGCGTCCCTCTCTTTCTCGTATTGACCGCCTGGAAGGTGTACGTATTTTCGTCCGCATTGAGACTGATTCGGACGAACGCGGCTTGATCTCCCAACGAGAGAGCGCCCGTGTGAAGCGGACGAAGTAGACGGGTGCGCAACGTTGTTTCAGCCAAGTCCCACGCTGCCTGTTGTCGTCGGCCGGCGACGTCGTTCCGGCCCAGATGTTAGGCCCCGCCTCCCGTTGGCTGTATATCGCGGTGTCACCTTACATTAGGACCGGCATCCAGTGACGTTGACACACTATCCCGTGTGAAACGAAGCGGCACGTTGCACCGCTCCCTTCCCCGCCTCCTTCCCGGAAAAAAAAAAGTTTCACAAAGCTGCGAGCGTGTGTAACTCCCCCCCCCCCCCCCCCCCCCCTATTTTTTTCTTTTTTTTCTGACGTTTTTTAGCGTGTTCTTCAAAAAACTGTAATCAGAATCTCGTGAGCGTGAAATAACCGACATACCGCGATGTCACGTCAGTCCCCTTCTTCCCCTTAACTGCTTTTCTCCCCCCCCCCCCCCCCCCCCCCTTTCATTTTTATCGCGCGATCTTTGTCGGTGTAACTTGCGTAACCCGGTTCCGTCGGTTTCAGTCATCGTTATTATTCCGGGAAGCTCGTGTTTGGCGTTGTTTGACGGCTGTCGATCAGCAGAAGCCCGGTTCTTTGGGCAGTCCGCAGTTCGTGCGGGGAGGATGCGGTCGCACCTTGATCGCGAGAAAGGGTTTGCGACGGGCGACAACTTGAACCGTCCCGCGTTCATATGCAAATGACGTGAAGCTCATTCCTGGTAAGAGGGGCTTTGACGAAAGGCGCGAGCCCGCTCATAATCGGCGTGAACGTGTTGACCGACGCTTGAACAAAGCGCTGTCTTTTTTTTTTTTTCTTTTTTTAGTTGATGAGGGGATTATTGTGATTTTGATTTTACGCGAAAAAGGATTGTAGCCTACGTGGTTTTTCGGGTAGGCTGCGCACGACCGTTTTACACGCCGATGGCTTCTCTCTCTCTCCCTTTCCCTAGAATGGGTGTTTAGTTTTTCTTTTGTGCCTTTTACGTTTCCAAGATGGGGAGAGCGACCGATTGGGGAAGACCGCGTCGTTTCGGGAGATTAAGGAGGCGTATGCCTCGCGTGCTTTTCTTGCAGGCCTCGCTATTTGCATAAATGTCCGAGAGACAGCAGAAGAAAACAGGAAAGGACGGAGCAGGTGTCGACACGCGAGGGTTTTCGTCTTTTGACGCGTGGATGCGGCCTCTTGACATTGCCTCTTTCGTGCGTTGCGTGTGCATGTGGCGTGGCTCGTTTCCGTAGAGGGCCTTCCTTGCTCGCGGCAGTTGCGTCCTTTCTCTGTCGATTGCAGGTGTTTGTTGCAATTATCGCGTTTAGGCGCGCCGAAGGTGACCGGCGCCGCCGACGATGTAGACGTCGTTGTTTGTGCAGACGCAGATTACTTGGACAATCGAAACCGTTTGTTATAGTGTTTCTCGTGCTGCCTGGTTCATATATATAGCGCCAGCTGAGCGTAAAGAAAGGATAAGAGAGAGATAGAAAAAGGCATACGCACCGCTGAACTATACTCCGTTTCACCTTATGTTGTACCGCAGCGAAGGCTAGAAGCGCGAGCTCATAGCGTTGGCAGCTGCCCTTGGTGCACAAGAGCTTGTGCCGCCGAGATGTGCCATAGAGCAAGGAGCTCGCGCTTGTAGCCTTTCCTGCGGTACAACGCAAGTTGAAACAGAGTATAGCAACTGTTTAATAAGGTCGTCTCTTTCTTCATCTGTATTGAGTTTCACTTCCTCTTAACATTACATTTTATTTTAAACATAAAAAGGCGTGCTCGGAGAACTACAAAGATAACTTTATACGGCTTGAAGCTGAGCTAGTTGGTTCATTGCATTATATAGTGTCGGCTGAACATAAAGGGGAAAAAAAAGAAGACGATCTTATTAAACAGTTGCTAGTCTAGTGGTCTGTATGCCTTTTCTTTCTATCTCTAATTCTTAATGTTCAGCTGGCACTACACATAGCAATGAATCAACTAGCTCAGCTTCAAGTCGTCCACTGCGTGATTCACTCGGTGGCGCTTGATGCTGGGGCTCATTGGCACGTGCTCTCGCGCACATGAGACGCTGTAGTCACTGACTGGGTGAGATCGACAGAGCGTATTTTCTTAACGCCCGGCCTCCCTCACGCGCTCGTTGCATTCCGCTGTGCTTTGCCTGCGCGTGCACTCTGTGGAAGCTCGCGAAACGCCGAAACATTATCGAAGGTAGGCATCTCGCGGTGGAGGCGGGGCAACTGCAGCTCCTTCCTGCTGTTTTTGTCCTGTCTGTGTGACCGTAGGACTCTTCTCTCCCTTCCTCCGCCAGGCGGCAACCAGTTATGGTTGTCCACGGGGAACCGCGCGGCCGAAGCTCCAGCTCGCATCCCCAACCTCGAGTCGCCTGTCACGCGGACGTGAAAACTCGCCGCGCGTCTAAAAGCGTGTGATGAGCCCAGTCGACGCTCGCTCTCGTGCCTCGGGTCGACGTTATCAGCACCGGCAAAAAAGCAAACACGACGCGGCTGACGCGTCGTCGTCTAGCGAGGCGTCTGTCGGCGCCACGACACGGCTACGACAGCCGTGGTGCAAGCGTGTGGTGCGTGATAAACACGCGCTGCCTGCTCCATTGAGCGACTGTCTCGACGGCGGCCTCTCCCCCGCATAGCCCGTTTCGACTGACTGTCCGCTTTTGGGGCGTGTGTCGCCGTCGTTGGCATGGTTGCGTCGTGGCAGCATGGCAACCCTTGCGCGACGCAACGGGAGCGTGGTTGTGGACCCCGGTCTGCCGTGTTTGCTTTACTTTTTTCGTATTTGGTTCTTCTGTCTTTGGCTTCCCTTTGCGAATCGATAACCTCGTCCTCTTCGTGCTGTCGTCGCTCCTGATGGTGATGCTGTTTTGGACTGTCTCGATGTGCTAACTGTAAACAAGGACGAAAAAAAAAGGCGTTAAAAGGGGCTTCCGTCTCATTCGACATCCGCGGAAGTCACGTGGTTTGTCTTAGCGAGGGAGGAGTCAGGCTCTCGCGTTGGGTCAGTGTTCCCAAGACGAAATATGCGCGCGCCTAGAGCGTAACTTACAGTTCTATAGACCGTTCTTTTTTTCTTTTTTTGATGTGGCGGCCGCCATGTTATTTTTTGACGTAGCTGAGTTGGGGGAAAATAGCAAATTACCTTATTTGCCGATTGGAAGGCACTGTAATTCGTGGGCTTTGTGCCAAAAGTCTTACTTTTTATTTTGGCTATACTTTTTATTGTAGTTATGTTTAAACTCTTTAGTTTATAGTCTTTGTCGCCCAACCCAACTACGTTATTATTTGCACATGGCAGCCGTCACTCGAAAATGGTCTATAGACCCGCGCGCGGCTCTACCGTCACGCTGCTGCCGGCTCAGCGCACGCAAAGTGCGATCAAGCGCGAGCTTGTTTGTAGACAGTGGGTCGGCGTCAAAAGAAAATACACGCTCGGAGTGGACGTCTGTGATTTAGGAAGAAGAAAAAATAAGCAGGAAGTGATGAAATGCCCGTTCGGTCGGTGGACTGGTTCCGATACAAAGACGCGTGCTTTTATTTCGTAGGCAGAGGAACCTACGATCCGTCGACCGAAGGTTACTTGTGAAGCGTATATGAACGCCTTCCCGCTCTTGTGTCTCACAAAATTATTTCCTTCTTGTTGTTTCGCAGGACGGGCTGGTGGCGTTCAGCGAGGAACGAGACGACACCGGCTCGGACTCCCCTTGGCCCATCTTCAAGAACGTGGTGTGCGGCGTCGCCGTGACGGCGCTCGGGGCGCTCACGCTGGGGGCCTTCCTCACGTCCAAGTCCTAGTGGAACCAGTCTCGGTAACATCCGGGATCACGCAAACGACACAAAAAGAAAAAAAAGGAAAAGCACACTCCGCGTCCTTCTTCTTTTTACCCGTCCCCATCGTCACTCGGGTCTGCATCCTTAGCGAGACAGCAGCACCGGAAGTACCTGCAAAAGTGTGATGTCATGTGACAACTGGGACAATTTCTGCAATGCCGCGGCCATCCCTGAGGAGAATTGCAGATCCGCAAGAACCAGGATATAACTCGGGGGGGAGTTTGTTTTTTCCACTGCCACGGCTATCCCTGACGGAGAGCAGCAGAACCGGAACTACCACGTGACAACTCCGAAGTCTTCTCCACTGCCACAGCTATTCCCGAGAAGAGCCGGAACACTTCCTACTCTGTGTCGTAAGAAGTCTAGTTTGTGGACACCGTGACAGCGACCACAAGGCGCGTCTTTCGCGTGTGTACCTTTCGGCAAGGGCACGGATGCTCCTGGAATGACACGAGTGACGCCTACCTAGGATGCTTCAAGACGCTGTCGTTCGCCGTTTTGGTGTGGTGGTGGCGGTGGGGGTGGGAAAGACGACGGACGCAGAGTGCAACCCTGGACGGACTGCTGATGTGTGTGCTCTGGGAACTTCGGGTGTCACCGACTTGGCATATACCGCGGTGACGCGCCGGATTTTTGCGGAGCAGCAGAACTGCACGACTTTCTCGTCGAAGGTGTCTTTTTTATATATATTATTTGGCGTCTGCGACGTTGAACGGGTGTGTGCATATGTGTGCGTAACTGAGTACGACCAGTGACTCTTGGCGTGTGCGATGTGCCTGATGATGAGCAACAACTTTTTCCTCGTACGTTTTTTGTTTTTTTTTCTCCTTACACGCCAGCTAGTCTTAACCATCCGCCAGCAGAGAAGAGATAAGGGCGTACTGCCTACCGCGCAAATTCACCGAGTTGCAGAAGAAGGCGACTAGATGTTATATAATAGAGCGCGGTAGAAGCGAGTGTCAACTCTTTTTTGTTTTGTTTTTTCAGCGTGATGTTTTTCACGTTGACACCAAAAGAAAAGAAAGGAAAAAAAAAAAAGATTTCAAGAGTGCGTGTATGTGTGTGTATGTGAATATTCGTGGCAAGTGCTCTCTCCGCGCTCTGTTTTGAAGCTTTGCCAAGATAGCAACCCTTCACTCTACCACGCGCTCGGTGGGGAAAAAAAAGAGGCGCCACAGTACAGGTACAACACGTGAAGAGTTTCGCGTTTTTAGATTCTTTTTTTCTTCGTAGCGTGCCTGCCTAATAGTTTTGTATAGCCTACTCTCCCACGCGAAGTTCGTTTAAAAAACATCAAACAGATGTAACAAAACAAAAAAATTACTATTTTTTTTTCTTTCTTTCTTTCTTTCTTTGTCCGAGTTGTTTCTCAAGATTCGCGAACCTTTGAAGTGCGCATTCGGTTTTCGCAAGTCGACGAGGAAAATGCCTCGAAGTGGTTAGCTCTCTTCTCTCTTCTTCTTTTTTTTTTTTTTTTTCGTTTAAAGCAAGTTGCCAGATTTCACTTACAAAAACTGCACCGTACCTGTTTTTATTCTGTTTATTACCTGGTTCCCTCGGGCAGGATATATGATAATAGTACGGATAGTTGTGTGTATAGTTTTCTACGTGTACACGGCGAGCGCGTTGGGTGCACAATTTAGAGTACGTAAAATAATGCGCGCGCTGTATCTTTTTTTTGTGTGTGTGTGTGTGGAAGCGGCGCAGAGGAAGCCACGTATCTTAAGCCACGTTTAGTATACACCGGAGACTGTACTGTCGCAGGTTTATTAGGTTTATAATTATAACTATTTCGTCGGACATACTAAAAAACCGCGCTGTGTTCTATTTATAATTTATGTTTTTTTTTTGTTTTTTTTTTTTTTGTTCTACGTCTTTTAAGAATGAAGACGCGGAAGGTTTCTGGGGCACAAAATAAACGCTGTGTTACCATGTCCACATTTTCATTGTAGGCTTTTTTTTCGGTTTTATTTGGGGATGATCTTTATCTGCGTAGAGGGACACAAGTCGACCAGAGTGCTTGGTTCCTTTTCCAAAACGTCCGCTTTCCCCCCTCCCCCCACCCCTTTTTTTTTAAACTAGCATTGACGTTTTTTGTTTGAATTTATAAATTTTTTGTTTGGTCGTTCGATGGGTTTTTATTCTGCGGGTAAAGCAGACGTTTTGTTCTTACCCAGACACTTTATTTGTGTGGTGTTTGTAAATACGTTTACTTTGAAACCTGGAGAAAAAAAAAATACTATGGAAGTAAATAAAAAAAAAAACTTATGGACGAATTTGTTTCTCTGTTGTGCCTTCCAAGCATGTATGCTCACTGCATGGGGCATTGCTTCGAATGAAAAGCTCGCATTTGCTTGTGTCGTGCTCACGAACCGCTCATATCAAACCTTGCAAGCCAGCGATTCCGGAAAATGACAGATTGCAAATATGCCGTTCCGGCCCCCCTCCCCCCGTGCGATAGCATAGTAAATTTGGCAGACTCGCGTTTAGGCCTTCGACAAATTACCCAAGCACCAAGGAGAATGCTGAAAACGTAGGTTCACACGCTCACATCGGTATAAGAAAGGGTCGCAGTAAATAATCAAAATGAGGCCTTGACGACAGTAAACGCAACTACCCTCGCGGTATAATCCGAGGCACTTAGTAACTTAACAAAACGTATATTGCGCTGTATACGCCCTTACTACGTTTACTCGCAGTCGTGGCCATGCGCGTTGCTGTGTTGCGAAGACTGTTATAACTTACGAGGAAAAAGTAACCCGTTGCATAGATGTGTTATACAAAAGACAGTTTAAGGCGCCATGTACGACGATCTTGACCGTGAAATAAAATGTGTACAGACATCTTCCGAGCGTGCGCACACACACACGTGAAGCAAACATGCGCCGAACACGCTTCAGGTGAGACTACTTCCAAAAATCCCTGCATGCAACACTGCCGCGGGTCGCCTTATGAGTCCCCTCCGGCCACGGAGAGGAGTGGCACATGGTGTCGATTTCGATTGCCGCGTTCACGAAGCGGAGCATCTCGGCACTGCATGAAAAGGAAGTCGGCGCTCGCTCCGGTTGCACCCGTTCATCCTGGTGAGAGAACCCCCGTTGAAACGCGGACCTTGCAGCGACCCGCCTAGACTCGACGAGAAGAATGCGGAGCGCCAGTTCGTCTGCTTCTAGTACAGGTGTTGCGATGATGCCAGGACGTGGGCTCTTATTGGCCGACTGCAAAAAATAGTGGGTACACTTCAAGACATCTAGCATTGAGGTCTACCCAGCATCCTTCAATGAGAGCTCGGCGCCTTTCTGACGTCACCGCAAATCCTGCGAAAGAAGCTGACGACCTGCTCTCCGCACAGGAGTAAGGCCTGCCGCGTCCCGTACCTTTCTATGGCGGTCTGGCTACCACCTTCCAGGGGCCCTAAACTCGTCAAAAAGAAAGTTGGACCCGAAAATTCGCGGAGCGCGCTGATTGGATGCCGGCGGCAAGAGCGCGAAGTCATCGTCGTGATAGTTCAATCGGTGCGCTCCGTGAACATCGGTCCCTACTTTGCGTTTGACGAGTTTAGAGCCCCAGAGTTGCGGCGGCACCACCCTCCCGGGTCACTAAGATCAGTTCCGAAGCCGAGGACATTGACAGGGTGGAACAGGATGTTCGGCCCCAGTACAATTCTTCATTTACCTGCTCACAAACTCTAACGCGCCCCCCTCCCCCCCCCCCCCCCCCCACCCCCTTTTGTTTTTTTAAGAAACATGCTTCAGCATTGTATTTGGTGGTGACGGAATGCCGTGAATAGACCCTTTGCTAAATTAGCCAAGCACCAACGAGCATGTTGCGAGTTTGGTTACTCGCGATGTACTCGCTGGCGTCTGCGGCAGTAACTGTTTAGAGGAAAAACCGAGAACATTCGGCATCTTGCACGCGCTTTCCTCAAACGCCTTATTTTGGTTATTTACTTGGAATCTTTTATACGGGGAAGGCGAGCGCGTGATGCGTAGACAATTACATTCCCAGCATTCTCCCTGAGGCTTGGGAGGCTGGCAAATCGAAATCGAAACGGTGATCAGGGAAGGTACCTGAGATGCTTTGCGCGGCATTACGCCGCTTGGATCGCTTCTATTTAGCAAGAGGCCTATACACAGTGTTCCGGGTGTTTGAGCAGGATGACTCCGGCTTTGAAGGGCGTTTTGGATCTAATCAGAAACTTAGCTATACTCTGTTTCACCCACGGTGGTTTCACCCTATGATGTACCGCACGAAATGCCACAGGCGCCAGCTCCTTGTTCTAGGGCGCATCTCGGCGGCGCCAGCTCTCGTGTATCAAGGGCAGCTGTCAACGCTATGAGCTCGCGTTTCTAGCCTTCGCTGCGGTACAGCATAAGGTGAAACGGAGTATAGTGCAGGACCGCTGCAGCTTACCTGGGGTCTTAAACGTACGCCGCGGAAAAGTGAGCACAAGAACGCACGCCGGTATAGGAAGTATTCACTGGACACCATAATTGTGTGTGCTGTTTAAAGCGCATGCTCAGAACGAGCTCACATCAATAAGCTGCTAAGACCGGCACCTTGATGGTGCGGAATGCACGCTGCAAAAGAACTGTGGAAGCTCGCCATCAGCACGCGCTCAGAATTCGCGCACACAGTTATGGCCGCCAGTGAATACTCCCTGTAGGCGGTATTCACTGCCGGTCATAGCTGTGTGCACGACTGCTGAGCGCGTGCTGATGGCGAGCTTCCACAGTTCTTTTGCAACGCGCATTCCGCACCCTCAAGTTTGCCGGTCTTAGCAGCCTATTATTGTGGGCTCGTTCAGAGCATGCGCTCTAGACATCACCCACAAATATGGCGCCCAGTGAATACTCCTGTTATCCGAATCGAACAGGACGGGTATGGTGCCCAAGAACCCTGGATCTGTGGCGCTAGCTGTGGGTCCACGTGCTCCAAACCGCGGTGCGCTGGCACATTACGCCGCCGGATGAGTCCCCCTCTATTACCAGGTGAGACGGGAGTAATGGGAACAGTTCGTGTGTGTAGCTCGACAGCAGGACAGCGGCAGGTGAAGATTTCCCTGTCCCAAACTCTTCCACATCCGTTCATATATATAGGACACAAAGCGGCAGGCACAGGTATGTGACCAGTGCGCCGAACGGGCTGCGCAAAGATTGCTCACTCCGTTGCACCCTGCTACATTTCGCGAAATGGCGAGCTATTTCGCCAACATTGCGCCGAACGGTAATGTCTCCTCAATAAGCAAACGAATATTACGAAGGCCCGCGACACTGCCGGCTAGTTCGTGGTATGGGCGTGTAAGAATTTTCGCTTATCAAAATAAATGGCATACTATTCGATTCGATCGTCGTGTCGAATGCATGCCTATACTTCGTTTCACGTTAAGTCAAAAATGTCCCTCTCTCTCTCTCTCTCTCTCTCTCTATATATATATATATATATATATATATATACTGTTTCACGTAACAGTGACATATTTCTACAATTAGTGTATTCCAGGTAAAAAGATAATTTCCTCGGAACCGCATTACTCGTGGTGCGTGACGTCAGAAAGTGTGCGACACTTACTAATTAGTTCGCTGATTAGTTAAATATGACTAATTACATTTTTGTTAGTGGAAATAGACATACGGTTCCAATCAGAAACTAACTGAGCGCCATCGAAAACCCCTAAATCAGTCATTGTCACAAAGACTAAGCGCGTAGTAGCGCACTACAGTTACCAGACGTGGAGCAGGTACAAGACTAGCGGTTGCGGTAAGGCGCCCGCGCGATTTTTCCTTCTCTTATGAGAGCCTCAGCCTTGTACCTGCTCCACGAGTGGTAACTTCAGCGCACTACTACGCTTCTCACGAGCTCGAAGTCTTCCTGAAAATGACTAATTTAGTAGTTTTCGATGACGCTCAGCAAGTTTATAATTGAAACCATGTGTCTATTTTCAGTAATTAGAAAATATAATTATTGTTTTAATTATTGATCTAATTAGTATCGCGCATTTTCTGACGTCCGCCATCACGCGTAATGCAGTCTCGAGAAAATTATCTTTTTACGTCGAATACACTAATTTTAGGAATTGTCGTCACTCTTACGTTAATAGCCTGTATATATATATTTATAGAGAGAGGGAGAGAGAGAGAAAAAACGAAGCGCAGGATGATGAAAAATATATATGGAAGAAAACGCACCTGAGACGGTTGTTGGTTTTTATATATATATATATATATAGAGAGAGAGAGAGAGAGAGAGTTGGAAATTTAGTAACACTTTTCGCTGTTGGACGTCTGTTTGGACGGATTTACTTGCTCCGTTCAGCGTGCTTCTAACCACGCACTGGTGTAATGCGGAAAAGCATCCACGGAGATCTGACCTCGCGACATGCGATTTGTGCCGTGTCCGCGTCGCTTATACTTTGCGTAGCCCACTCCATGTGACCACGAACCCAATGGTGTGATTGCTGCGCCAAACTGCGCAAGGATGTTTGCCCTGCTACACGCTACTAAGTTTCGCTGAAATGGAATCAATTTGCGCAAAACACTGATGAATGCTGAAAATATAAAAGTTGAGGCCCCGCTACACGGCCCGATCGTTACGGCAGCCTTGTGTGAATTTTCGCAACTTTCGATTATCGTCTTTAATAACGTGCTACTAGATTTGATATATGTATCAAACACTGACAGTACTGCAGTGAAGCGAGAACCGCGGAGTAGGCGTCGCGATTTTTATTATCTTTCAGAGCGAGACGTTGCACAAACAAACGTCGGGTATGTAACAACAAGAAAGAAAAAAAATGCGGAAGTGTTGTGTAACAAGTTTACCTCGCAGCAAAAAATCTTTAATAAAACTGCGGCCTGTATATATTAGAAACAATGATATTGTGATTACTTTTTTGTTCAAATTCGAGATTTAGCCAGGATACTTATGTATTGCAAGAAAGGTTATATGGACTGGTCTATAAGCTTTTCTTTTTTATGTCAACTCTCTCGTTTAGTTATTACCATTACAGAGGTTCCATCTGTGAGATGGCACAGTGAACGGAAGAAATTAAAACTAAATTAGCTAGGGAAGGGAACAGAAACGTGAGGATAACCTTAAGGAGTCCGACTGGATTGTTTCTAAGGTTTATAGTATGTATTGTTCAGATACGGATTTGGGATATCATGAGGACCTACATATAAATCGTTATTGATCCTAATAACCAACTGACAAAAGCTTCGTTTTTATCTTAAATAATGACTGTAGTTTTATTGCAACCTTTACTTCATCAATTATCAAT